TACATATATATACATATATATATATACATATATATATATATATACGATATACATATATATATATATATATATATATATATACATATATATATATATATATATATATATATATATATATACTACATATATTTTATATGATGACCTAGAATCAATACTGATACACACACACACAAACACACACACACACACACACACACATATATATATATATATATATATATATATATATATATATATATATTACAATCTTTGACAAAATATATTATTAGTATAACTTGGATGCTAAAAGTATTCCTTTGCTCTAACTAATATAATTTTTAAAAATGTGTGTGCATGAAATTAAAAAAAAATACGTCTTGGTATTTTAATATTAATTGTATTAATTCTATAAATATAAACATCTATTTAAAAAAATTCCAAACATAAGGAAAAGAGTGAAGACAACGTTAGTTATGTTTATCTGTCTTTTTTGTGTTTTTCAAATAACATGTTTATCTATCTCGAGTGTGTGTTTGCATATATCTATGGGTTAGTGTGTTTTTGTATCTCTCTGTGAAATTTTAGTTTAATTTATTGTACAAGTTTATGTCGAAACAATTTTCTCGTTTTAAAATAATAGAAATCATATTAATTCGTTCCAAATACTAAAAATATTGATATAAAAATCACTAAAAATTGTATTTTCGGCAAAATTAAAGTACTTCTTTTAAAGGTTCTACACAAATAATGTTAATAAATATATCATTGTGATTCCTTCCCAGGCTTTATCAATAAGATTTAAGCAATTTGGGATACTGAAGTGATCCTTCCAAAATTCTCTTAGGTTCAGCTTTGTATTTTCGGTCAATTCAAAACACCTCTAAAAACAAGACAGCTTTATCAGAGCTCGCCGCCTCTCTATGTCTCACTACACTGTGGATACCAGTTCTCATTTTAAATTTTTCAAACCATCCTCGGCTTTCTTTAAATGCATTTTCATCTTCAGAAGACGTGCCTGGTATTTTTCTGATAAGATCCACGTGCCTTTGCACATGTAATATCTACAGAAACAGAATCACCTCATAGCAGCCTCTCATTCATCCGGCACCAACAACAGCTTCTCAACATCTTCTAGGGCTTTTGGACAATGCTTGGTAATTATGCTAACTCCCTTGGCTATATCAAGTTTTTTTTTTATTATTTCTATCTTGTTCTTTAGGATAGTGCAAATTCTTGATGCTGAACGCCCGTATAAATTGGCAAGTTTAGAAAAACGTGTATCTTCTTCGTGCTTCTGAATGATTTCCTTCTTCATTTGCACGGGTATTTTTCCCAGCTTCTTAGGGGGAGATCGTGGGCTACAAAAATTATCAAAAAAAATTACCCCCTAAAATTTATTGTACATGTACAGTAATATTTATAGTAACACATTAAACTGTACAGTATAGTAACTGTATGGAAAATGTAAAGGAACAAACTGCAATGATTAAATGCACCATACAAATCAATCTGAAATGGATGCATAGTTTATTTTACTGCGTAGTTTACGTGCTGTACCTGCATTTTATACATTTTATTTTACTCTAATTAAACTTTGTAATTTTTTTACATTTTTCTACTGGACTGTATCGACATCAATTTAAAATTCAGTGATTATACATTGTAGTATATTAGATTAAAACACTTTATACATTACATAGACATTAAACGAAACGAACTCAGTATTGTCACATTTTACCTAATTTGAATTCAATAAATTTTCATAAATTTATATATTATTATACTGTACAGTAATGTACATATACTGTTTTCATTACTGTACATACATTTTTGCACATTATTAATTTTTTTTACACTTACACTAATATAATCACAAATTTGTGTACGCTTCAAATGTTTATTCTATGAGATATCAAAGAGGACGGAACGCGATCAAACAATCCTCGTAGCATCACACTACATTTAGTGTGATGGAACTGTATAGAAATATGTACTGTATAATAATATAATACAGTACTGTATATAAAATATATTATAATAATGTACACTGTATATAAAACATAAAAATATAAGAATAAAAATACACTATAACATATATCTGCAAATATTTAGTAGAGTACAGTACAGTATAAAAATACAGTATAAAAAAGTATTGTAATACTGTATAATACTACAGTATTATATTATTATGTATAAAATATATAATAATATATCTAAAACATAAAAATACAGAATACACTATATTTAGATAAGATTAAAAAGTAGTTACGGTGCCTTTATATCAAATATAAACTTTGAAATGCAGTGGCGGGAAGCACATTCTTAATTTCGTAAGTTGAAATTAATTCGTAAGTGGAAACGAATTTTCTGACAAATTTTTGTTCGTATGGCGAGTTTTTCGTAAGTGGAGGTGTTCGTAAGTCGATGTTTTACTGTATTTAAATGGGTTAAAAATGACAAAATTAAAAATATTTTTAGGGTGTGACATATAAAAGTATACATAATACAACAATACTATAATAAGCACAAATAACTAGATAAAAATCGAGTTGCATAATGTGCAACTGCAAAATGACTTAGCGACTATTGAGAAAAACGTCTTTATGAATACGACAAAACCAGGACCTGATAAAGCAAAACTAAGTTACAATTCGTGTTCACCGCGCCCAAATTACAAAGAACTACCGGTCAAATCTAATTCAATAGACAAAAAATTTAAATTTTTTCCCCAGTGTAATTAATGCGAATCGCCTCCGCCAGTCTAACACACTAGCAAAACGAAGCAAAACTCGGTTTACATAAAACTGTATTCATTTTGCCTCCATTTTGTCACTTTTTCTTGAAACATTCTCACGCGTTGACAATGGGAATGAAAGAAAACGGATGATAGAAAACGGATGAAAGCCACTTTTTCGGAGATGTCACTAAAACGGGTGTGACTTAACGTGAAGTACAGTAAAACTTACCATAATTTTACTCTCAGCTGAACTCTTTTCCCGACCTTTTTTTTACTTACCTGACCACAGCTGTAGCCAGACAGTTTATGTCAGATTAGAACGGATGTGCAACCAACTCAAACGAATCAGAGATTAGTGAAGCAATAACAAATCATCACATACACCTCAGTGGAGCTCTTCCGCTGATACGATTTGACTGATTGCAGCAAGAATTTATACATTTTCACCAACTGAAAGCACAAGTGGTTATTCTCTTAAATTTCATTTTGAGAACCTCCAATTCGATTGGACACAGATACCGATCATGATACATTGCATCAGTGTGGCTAATATTGATCACGAGATTTCTCTTCAGCAGTACTCATGCATTGGCTAAGGGTTTTTTTTTTCAATAGAAATAAACTGGCCAATAGTTTTTACTATGAAAATGTAACGGTCGAGGATTCTTACTCTGAAAAATAATTGTCCAAAAAAGTTTACTATACAAATCATTGACCAAGGATCGTTTATTAAAAAAAGCATGGGCTAGTATTTTTAATATACAGGAGTTAATTAATAAATTTGTAACCTAACGCGTAGATGAATTTTGATTTAGATTATTAATATACATTACTGAAATTGGCAAATAAGGACATTATGTCGTTAAATATTTATTGAGTAAAATAATTATTTTTTCATCATTCAATTAGAGTACCTACATAGATTTGCACTATGATTTTTACAAAATAAACGCATTGGCCAGTAATTTTACAATAAGAATGCATTGCTAAGATTCCTTTATTGTAGAAATACATTTCTTAGGATTTTAATATAGAAATGCATTACCAGTTATTTTTACTCTAGAATACCCTCACAATTATTTTACTATAGATATGCATTAATTAATGATTTTTAAAAACAATGCCAATAGTTTCTATATATTTTCTTTGAATTTCTTGGATGCTACTTTTTCATTATTTACAGTATTTACATTCAATCTGTTGTCCTCATCTTTGTTGTTATTATCACCCAATCTCGTTCTCTTTGCATTTCTAGGATAATGAGTTATAATTATTTACACTATTTACAATCAGACTATTGTTCTAATCACAACGTTTCGGATGGTGTGTATGTTGATACGCGTAATAAAGAAAGGCATGTCAGAGCAGGTTTTTAACAACAGAATCAACAGCTGTAACAAAGAAATAGAAAGCTTCAGTGAATGCAGTCAAACATGACAAGCAACAACTGCACTCATCATCAGACAGGTTAGACTTAAAGTTCTCTCTATGGAGAATTGCCCCACGGTTAAAGGGTTGTTTCGTGGATTTAGTGTCATAGTAATTGTGAGTTTAATCCCATGGGCGGGCAGAGAGTACTTGAACTCGGTAGAAAACATGGCAAGCACTAAGTTCCGTTTACTTGCTTTCCTTGATATCTACAATCTTTAAAACTTTAATCGCAACGTCAATCACCTTCTTCTGTCTTCTTGAACACCGTTTATCTTTTGTCCTTTCCTCACTCCTCTCTATTCTCACTTTTCTCTTTCTGTCAAATAATAGTTTAGCAGACTATTATTTTTAGTGGAAATGAATCTCAGCTCCAACTTCCAGAGGGTGACCTTCCAAGTCAGATGTAAGACACAATAGGGAAGTCGATTCTGAGTGGATGTTCTAGCGTGGGAACGAGATAAGAGAAAGACTTCAGCTAGTTGTTTCTTGACCGTCAAGCAATGTATATGTGTTCTCTTTCGTGTCCCAAATGGCTCGTTAGTTTTTTTTTTGGTGGGGGGGACTCACACTAGATATTTGGATAATTATATGTCAAGATGATTAATAAAAATAGCCAAGTTAAAATTCTCTGTGCTGAAGTCTTTCATTGTTGAACCGAAACGATTGCGATCGCTGACCAAGAGAAAAGGCCGAGCCGAGATCATCCACTTCTGTTAACATACAACATTTCACTTTAGCTTCCCCGTAACTCCCTGCGTACTGGTTACATTATTGTTTAATGTGTTCTTCATTTGCATTACCGTTTAATGTATGCTCACTAATCGACATTAACGAACGTGATTCTCGTTTCCAGATACGTCCCTTTTCACCCTTTCTCGTTCTTTTTCTTCCAATACCTAACAAACCTCGGTCACGTTTCGTGTCGGCTCTCTCAAACCTGTGTCTGTCCTATTTTTCATGACTTAATGTAAGAGCACTAGCGGCATTGCCGCCTTGCTTTAATATGTTATTGTTTGTCATTTCATTCAACTTTTGTAAAATTGCGCCTTACTCAATTCATTTGTATGTTTATACGCAGAGTTGAATCTAATTTTTATAGGCTTCCGACGCCGAGATGCAAACAGAAGAATTACATATGCCTTTATTCCGACTACAATTTTTATTACAATTGTAATTAGTCTATTATAAGGGGACCTTGTGTGGGTCGTCGTTGGCGTTAGCAGTTTTGATATGATGATATGAAACTTAAAAATAACGACGCCAACAGACACGTTTCTACTATTTCAAGGGATCAATTGAGAATGGCTCTTCTTGCTATTTTTTCTTTTCTTTTTATGTGCCGTGTCATTTCATGGCTCTCCACCTCCCCCTATCCGTTGCAGCTTTCAACAAGTTCCGTCCCTCCGCCACCTCTCCCAGACCACGTTCTGTCATCCACTTGCTTAAGCCCGTTAGGTATGTCATGCGTTGTTTTCCCTTCCTTCTCTTTCCCTCTATTCGACCCGTGAGTATCAGATCCTCCAGTCCCTCCTTCCTTATTACGTGTCACAGAAACTTCAGCTGCCTCTTCCTGATGCTAAGTGAAGAGGAGGCAATAGAGATGTGGTTCTTCCTGCTATACTCTACCTTTACAAGAGCCAGATCAAGCTGAAAATGAAGCACTGTTGCCGTATATGGGCAAGAGCTGCCTAGTCTTCATTTCCAATGTTTATAGAGCCCAGAAGCGTCTCCACAGCCTTGTGGAGGATGAATTATTTTCTACACTACAATCCCTTTCCTTACAGACGAAACGTTGCAAACCTCTCGCTTGTCTGTTGCTTTTTCAATGGAGAATGTTCAGATGAACTACATTCCTTAATTTCACCATTTCTAACCTTCACGGCTAAGCCCCACCATGCCACGCATATTGCAGCGAAACGCCCGCATTCTCTTCGTATTTCATTCGTCAGATGTAATTTCCACTTTAGCATCTTTTTCCAATGCACTGTTGCTCTGTGGAAACGACTCCCAATATCATGCTTCCTCGATCACTACAATTTTAACCTGTTCAAGTCACTGGTTAACCGTTTTCTTCCCCACATATCTCCATAAACTGTGCCTCTTACTCTGTAATTCACTATCTCGAGTGGTTCTTGGATCTGGTACAGGATGAATATTATTGTAAAAAAGGAATGAAAGAGGAAGAGACTTTGGTCGAAATGTGGAAAAATTGTGCAAGCCCTAGAAGTTCGAAATATGGCAATAACTGATCATTGAAAGCGAATTAAATCAACAACGCAGTTCTCTAATACGTTAAATCTGTTATTTAACACTGTTTTTTTTGGCCAGCCTAGTAAATTAACCTGTTAATGTGGATCTGAAGGTTTTGTGCCTGTGTTGCAATGGATTGTCTTTGAACAAAGCAGAATGATTTCAGTGCTTGTTACTTAAAATGTATTGCCTTAGAACAATAACCCTGCGTTGTTAATCATTTTAAGTGTCTTTTTATGTTCGCCTCTCAAAAGAATGTATAAAAGAACCTTCTGACATCGATTCCAAACCAGCCATTCTGGATATGTCAAAGTGCCCGGATGTTATTATATCCTTAACGGAAAATCTGTATTATAATCCTTCCTCAGTTTCACTCTGGACATTTTCTCAGTGAATCAATTACAGTAGCTAATTTCTTTATGTTAATGACATAGCACTCGCGTTATATTTACACACTTTAGGATACCTCACTTGACGCATGCTCTATGCACTATTTCGAGGTATATTTGCATAATAACACGATTTGTAACGTTTCCCTAGTTTAAAATAAATGTTCTAATTTGCAGTAATATAATATAATATTTAGAAACGTCCCAAGATGCCATTTTCCTATTCAAACATTTTTACGAAACAGTGTGCCAAATTATTGACTTAATGAATTCTAACCCAACATTCTAACCGTTGAACCACAACCATCCTTCGGCATTATTTTGGGAAAGGGCATTCCATAAAACTTTCAACGAAAAATCTTTGTCAATTTATAATACCAGAGGTTTATTTCTTTTAACTTTTAACAAACTGTACATGCAATTCTTTAGATCCCAAGCATAATTATCTAAAAGCGGATTTCAGGTCCACTTAACTCGTTTTGAAAATTGTCCCATTAAAACTATGGAGGGTCATGATCATTCTAGCGTACAATGCGCAAGGCCCTTGATTATAATGACGATAAGTCTCTTGAACGATTATCTCGAACTAAGACAACTTCGACATTTTGTTCTGGGGCACAAAATGTGTTGACACTAATGAACCTTAAAGAATAAAAAGCAATATTGTCGTTCAAAAAATTAAAGTAGGATTTTAAAAAAATACGTAAGATTGATTTGTTATTTTCAAAACATATTTTCTTGTTTATTTGCATCATCCTTGCTGGATCAGCAAATAAATATTAGGTGAGCTTATTGATATGTAGTCGTTGAAACAGACACAACACATCATTTATAATGAAGAAAAATAAAGATAAGTTGAACAAAATTGTTTTGATTTTTACGAAAAACGAAAATATCCCAATAAAGAATAAAATGTGTAAAATGCTTTCTTTACGATCCTGAAAAAGAAAACTAGTGAATGTTGTAAGTGTAGGTACATACAAAAACTAGTTATAAAAGGGGATACATAATGAAAAAGATGCCCCAAACATAATAAAAACATTTTATTGTCAACATTTTTGTGTTATTATAACGAGGGAAGATCAAAGTATTTTTTATGTAAAAATTATTTTTTATCTTTTTCAGAACCTTCAAAATTTTGGTTAGACATCTTGTTTTTTCTGGTGTCAACGCCGTCTATTTTTAGCGTCTTTTTGAGGTGAAAAACCTCACTGATTTGGAAATTCTTGCAAAAATTAGATAATTGTAAGATTTAAATGAAACCTTCAGGACTTATACAGAAATGCATCCATACATGAAATTATCAGGAAATAAAAGGGAATATATGGTAAATTTAGAATTTATTTGTAATTTTCTATCACTCCCACGTCTTCTTAAGTTTATAAAAATAAAGTACTTAACATTCAATAAAATATTAGAATGTTTAAAATAAAAAACGTTGTTCACGTCATATAATTTTAATTGAAATTATACCCCTTTTCTATAAATTTCCTAAACATCAGGCTGTTGATAAATCACTCAACACGTCAAAAATAATCCCCTCCTTCTTCAAAAAAGATGCTTTTCTGCAATATTTTAAAGTAAAAGTAAGTAATATTTGTTTCAATTCAGAATAATTAAACTTACATCATCTAGTCTTTCTCAAATAACGTTTCAGAAAAGTTTTTTTTTTAATTTTTTATTTTTGAAAGATTTTTCAATAGAAAGAAATAACTTGTATTGACAGATCTGTCAATATGGAAACATTTATAGATTTTATTGATAAGGAGAGAGAAAAAAGAAGATTCCAATCAGTTTAAATTCGGTTTGAAATACACCAAAGTATTTTGTTCATTAGGAATATTAAATATAATCTATTAGCTTGAACATTTTCGGGTTCTCTCCTCCTAATTTTCGAAACTGCTCTTTGCAGACGCTCTCAGGACTATAAATATTCTGCGATTTTTTTCTCGTACTCTTCTCACCTTATCCGCTTATTCGTCAACATGTAACCTCTAGCGGAGAACGTGATTCCCTTTTGGGAAATGCATGAACAATACACACACACACACACACACACACACACACACACACACACACACACACACACACACACACACGTACGTACGCCCGCACATTCACTTGCTACATATACTTTGGACAAAAACGGTTTCCACAATCATTTGTTACGCACATTATTGTCTTTGTCGCTTGGTTACCTTTGTTGTTATTGTTTGTAGATACATATTGGTTCCTGTCATTTCCTTACACTTCTTTACGTGGACTCACATCCCGAGTCTGCCATGTTTATTGTGGTTATTTCAGGAGACAGCATGTTATTCCCAATTTCAAACACCGACGTAACTAACGTATGAAATAAATTGGGAAGCGCATACAACCGCCCGCAACAAATTAAAACTAAAATTAAAGCTTCAAGAAAGAATTTTAACTTTTTAAAATGCATTTAGAACTTAGGTATCGCTTTACTTTAGAGTTACCTATTCAAAAGGTTGCCTCTATTCACGTCAGGAGCATGGCAAAGAATTGTCTCTGCTCTACCCTACTCAATTGTGCTACATGTTTGCACATTTTCTTTCTATTTAAATTCCTATTTGTTCAAATCTTCTTGCATTAAATGTTCTCTGTACGCTTATTAGGAAAGTTTTAATGGTCACTTTCATATTCATCAGGTTCGAAATATTTCAAACAAAACCTGCTGTTTTTCAACTGTTTTTTACTCTTTGAGGAGCACTCTTTGGTTTCCACTTTTGTCGAATATATCATTGCTTATGCGATCACCAAGAGAAAATAGCTGTACCTAGATCCTAGATAACATTCAACTTGACCATCTGGACTCTGGTTATGTGTTTTAAGTTTTCGATCAGCTGGCTCTGACATCAAACAGACTGAGTTGCATAAATTGGATTCATTTATAGACAGACAATTCTGAGAGCGCTTAAAACAGTCGTAAATAGGCACTACGATCAAAGATCAGATGTAATGTTGAGAAGTCGGTTAAGGTGAAGACACCTTTTCTAGTCAGTCGATTGGCTCGTGTGGATTACAAGCAAATGAATTTCACCCAAATGAATGGGTCAAAAGATTTAAATTAACCTAGCGAATGGGACAGAGCAAGTTTACACAACAGAGCTATTGTTAAGCAGTTTACCCAGGATGTGCATTGTTGATTTGAAATTAGATTCGTCTTTGAAATGCTTTTGATCTTTGTACTGTTATTTATTGCATATAGAAATGTCAGTTTCTATGAAAGTCAGTTTTTCTTTAGCTTGAATTTCTAATCTTTACTTTGTGACATTTCTTTTTTTTATTTTAACAGTCTTTTTTGTTTCGCAATTTAATTGCATTTATGGACTTAGCTTGCGGGTTAAAATGTCGACGTTAATTTTTTCCAGTCTATCCCTAATAAAACATGCACTTATCTGCGCCCCCCGCCCCCTAAAAAAACGTCGACAATAGTTGACAATAATGTAAGGGCCTCCAAAGAATAGCGATACCTAAGGTTTAAAATGATTTTTAAAAAATTTAAATCTTTCTTCATTTTAGTTTTAATTTCAAACTAATAGATTAAAGTTAATATTTCCAATAAGCAAAATACTTTGCTTTATTTCAAAAACTAATTTGAAACTAATTTAAATTAAAAAAAAGGAGTGTTTTTTTTTCTAAAATAGCTGATGAGCGCTTTTGTTTAGTCGTCTTTCATTACAATGTAATTCTCTTTATTAAAAATCTTTCAAAAATAAAAAAAAAACTTTTATGAAACTTTATTTGAGGAACATTAGTTGATTTAAAGTATAATTTGATTTGAAACAACTATTATTTACTTTGAGTATAAATATAGCAGAAATATATTTTTAACCAGACAGGAACTGCGTTAAATTGGTGACAGTCTGATGACAGATGTTGATCTACGGAGATTTTATCTGTAAAACATAATTGAAGAAAATGACGTGAAGAAAATGACATTGTTTTGGAATTTTTTGCAAAAATCAAATAATTGTCAGATTTTAATAAAAGCTTGGTACAATTAATCGAACACCAATATTTTAAAAATAATTTTGAAATCTGTTGTGTATAAACGTGCCGATTTCTGTAACTATAGGCATCCATACACAACATTATCAGAAAATAAGAGCAATAACTATAGTAATTTACCTAAAATTCAATAAAACGCAGAATATTTTCCTAAATTTTTAAGATTACAAGGTAGTTAAAAATTACATAAAAACGATGCTTACGTTATATTCTTCAAGTAAATTTTAGAGATAAGTTCGCGGTAGAAAAACATTAGAACTTCCGTCTTACATTCAAGCTGTCAGCCTGTTAACACCTAAAATAAACATCTACTGCCGTGTTACAAAATGCATTTCTGTGATATTTTAAACTTAAAGTAAAAAATATTTGTTTCAAATAAGATTAATTAAACTTTAAATCAGCTAATATTCCTGAAATATAGTTTCGGAAAAGTATATTTTATTTTTTTTATTTTTTCATAAAGAGAATTACATTCTGATGAAAGATGTCTAAAGATAGCGCTAAAATCAGCGATGCTTAGCAATTTCAAAACGAAAACTCCTTCCAGTCAATTTAAATTAGTCTTAAAATACAGTATTTTGCTTATCTTGGAAATGTTAAATTTAATTTATTAGCTTGAAATTAAAACTAAAATAAAAGGTTCAAGAAAGATTTTTCATTTTTTAAAATTAATTCTAATCCTTAGGCATCGCGAATCTAGAGGAACCTACTTAATATATTTCATATTTATAAAAGTTTAAAAGAACTTATATGATGTAGGGGGTTATTTGTATCAGTATTCTAATTTTTAACGTTTTCAATAAAATTTTTCAAGAACATTTTACATTCAGGAATCTTTTCAACAGCTGTCTGTTCTTTACCTTCACTTCGAAGTGTTTAGATCGAAATTTTAAATCGAAGTGTTTAGATTAACACAAGTTCGCTAGTCTCTGTATCGAAACTATAACTAGGAGAAAACCCAGAAGTTCTTATTTCATTGTTTAAAAGCTTATTTATATATTATATATTATTCACCCTCGTACTATTACCGTCATCGATGTTGTTATCATCACAGAGTTTCGGCCATTGAGTCCTTTGGCTTGCACGTCGAACCTTCAGGGAATTTCGAACTGAATTCTTTATGTCGGTTCTCGTTCCGTTGACCATGTCTATAGGGAGGGCATCAACTCAACTGTGGGGTATCAAGTCCAGAGTGAGCTCACTGGTAGAAGCGCATTTTCCGTGACGCATTCAAAGATGGTGGAGGCAAAGATTTTTCGGTGGAGGATGTAAAAGTTTCGACGAGTCTCTCCAGATGTAAAGTAAGAGACGTAATACTGAACAGTTATAGCATTAATCTATTCGCCTGATCGGATGCTATTTAGCAATTAAAATGAATTCTCATATAATAGTAAGTTGAATATGTAAGTTCAAAATGTCAATAAAAAATATATTTTTCTTTTACGGAATTCGGATTTAACATTATATTTTACAATAAATACCTTGCTACTTCTTGCTTATTCAACTTGTTGGGATCCTCCTCTGCAGTTCTTGCCTTCAAGAACTCTCGGGAACCATCTGACCCTTCATATTATCGTTCTATTATCTATTTTTGGCAAAGTATTAGACTAGAGGTTCTAATCAACGCTGAATTGGTTAAGCATCTTACTGCACACAGCCTCGTTTTGGTTAAACAATATGGCTTCCGTTTCTCCAGGGCTACCGATGTATTAACGGCCATCATTGAATTTGTTTATCAAGCTAAAGCTTGTTAACAATGACGAAGCTCGAGTTGTGGCCCGAAATATCTCAAAAGCGTTCAAGCGCTACGATGTTTCTGAACGAATATTTGTTAATCTAATGGTTCTTAACAAACCGTATAATGAAGGTCGTGTTGAACAGACATGCTTATAATGCAGGGGACTCCCAGTGCTCTGTCTCCGAACCTACGTTGTTTCTGATTTTCATTAACAATGGTGGAGTAATAGGTAGCTGCTCGAATTGAGGAATCAGAGTTCGAATTCCAGTCGAATCCATTACATTCACTTACGTGCTAATACCCTTAGGAGAGGTATGAATCCTCTTCTTCTCCCCAGGATAAATAACAGGACAGACCGGGTTCTATAGCCTTTGATGGCAATCGACTGCGGGAAAAAAATCTGCTTAGTCAGTCATGTATCGAAAGATACATGATCGTGTATCACGTATGGCACATAACTGACTGATCAACAGCTTCCTTGATGTCATCAGTTCTCAACTAGGTATTTATACAGATGACGCAACTATTTACTCCTGTCTTAGTAGTAAGTCTGACAGATCAAAGTAAAGCTAGCAACTGCTCGAGAAAATGAGATCCAATCAGTGGTTAACTGAGGCAAGGAATGGTTTGTAAATTTTAACGCCTCCAAAACAAAAATGCTTCCATTTAACCACAACAGATAACCTTTTCTGTCTGCCATCGGCATGGCTAATGCTAAACTGCAGGAGAGCAACACTTTGCCCGTTTTGCGGCTCATATTTTCCATTGACATGAAGTGGAGTGATTGACTCAATTACTAGGTCCACTGCTAAGTAAGTTGATTCACTGTGTCGTGCCAAACAATTCTTTTCGTCAGAATCGTTCTTGCACATATATAAATGTGCTATTCGTCAGTGCATTGAATATGGCTGACATATTTGGTCTGGTGATCCTATTCCTCCAGATTCCTGACAAAATTCAAAGAAGGGTCTGTTATGCATTCGATCCATCTTCTGTCTTCTTGAATCATGTTCCTTCATTCTTCTTTTCCTCACTTCTACACACTAAAGTCTTTTCGTGCTGGTTTACTCCTTGTTACCTCCTGCGTCTTAGTGGTATTATCGCCTTGCCTGGGGCGAAATGATTCAAAAAAGGAGTTCTAATTACCTTTATTTGATTCCAAACGGGGCCCAATTTTACCTTCTCTCTTCTGTTACTACACCACCGGGATGTTGTTGGTCGATCGTTCATTGGGTAAGAGAATGTGGGTTTGTCCATTGATCGAGTTCCTATTTAATACTGCTCATTTAGTGCTCGCCCTGTTTGCGCACCATCCGACCCAAGGATTGAACTCACAATTACTATGTCACCAAATTCGCAAACCAAAGCTTTTATCCTCTAGGCCAGTGATCGGCAACGTACATACGCTTGCCACACATGGCACGCCAAGCAATTTCCAATGGCACGCAGCCGCAAATGACATCACGAAGTCCGAACCAATAACTACTACAACGCAAAGAAGATATTTAGCTTGTCGTGTTTCTTACACTAAACCGGATGTTGACTGCTCGACGACCGAAGGCAGAATGCAAAAACGCATCTTTGCGCATCATGGCTCAACGCATGTTTTCGGTATTAAATGCTAAAATGAACTTTATATACTGACCAGTAGAAATAACTCCTGCTAAAAGACACAGACTGTGATTGTGAGCTGATACGGCGGATATAAATTTCTTGATTCAACGCCGCAAAAAGAGAGAGAGAGAGAGAGAGAGAGAGAGAGACCCGGCTTAGATGTCGACACGCAGAGGTTGGTCAAGAACGCCGGAGGCAGACTGAGACTGAACGCGATACTTTTCAACTTTCATCCTTTCACCGCCACCGTCTTCACAAAACATCAGCCGACAGCCATGACCAGCATTCTTTCTATTTCTTTCTTCCTTACCCACTCTGTCGCCTTTTACAACAGCAACGAGTAGTATGCTGGCTTTGTATATATGTAAATAAATTATATATTTATTTACCCAAAATACGACGTATACCTTTTCCTCGAATTTACGTTTGCTGAGGCGAAGAAGAAATTAACCTCTTCAACAGAAACAACAACAACATCGACAAGTTCTGCCTTCCAGGTTACTCATTCTTCGTTTTCGCAGCAATCTGTTACAATTTTAATATATACTGAAGTATATATACTATATATTACTATATAAAATATATTGTAGAACATGTATATTGACCTTGAAAATACGTATACTGTCCTCCTTCTTCTTCTTCTCCTTCTTGTCCTCTTTCTTCTCCTTCTTCTTCTTCTCCTTCTTCTTCTTCTTGTCCTCCTTCTTCTCGTTCTTCTTCTTCTTCTTCTCGTTCTTCTTGTCCTCCTTCTTCTCGTTCTTCTTCTTCTTCTCCTTCTTGTCCTCCTCCTTCTCGTTCTTCTTCTTCTCCTTCTTCTCCTTCTTCTTCTCCTTCTTGTCCTCCTTCTTCTTCTTCTCCTTCTTCTTCTTCTTGTCCTCCTTCTTCTCGTTCTTCTTCTTCTTCTTCTCCTTCTTCTTGTCCTCCGTCTTCTCGTTCTTCTTCTTCTTCTCCTTCTTGTCCTCCTTCTTCTCGTTCTTCTTCTTCTTCTTCTTCTTCTTCTCCTTCTTCTCCTTCTTCTCGTCCTCCTTCTTCTCGTTCTTCTTCTTCTCCTTCTTCTTCTCCTTCTTATCCTCCTTCTTCTCCTTCTTCTTCTTCTTCTCCTTCTTATCCTCCTTCTTCTCCTTCTTCTTCTTCTTCTCCTTCTTCTTCTTCTTCTTCTCCTTCTTCTTATCCTCCTTCTTCTCGTTCTTCTTCTTCTTCTCCTTCTTGTCCTCCTTCTTCTCGTTCTTCTTCTTCTTCTTCTTCTTCTTCTCCTTCTTTTCGTTCTTCTTCTTCTTCTCCTTCTTGTCCTCCTTCTTCTCGTTCTTCTTCTTCTCGTTCTTCTTCTTCTCCTTCTTGTCCTCCTTCTTCTCCTTCTTCTTCTTCTTCTCCTTCTTCTTCTCCTTCTTCTTTTTCTTCTTTGTAGAGTGCCATGATCACCAACGCCCTGAAAGGACACGACATATAGAAGAAGAAACTGATAAAGCAGTTTGCCAGTATATTTTCCAAAGTTCTAATATTATTAGTGGCTTCTCGCCTATGGGTTTTCAAATACATTTTTCCAATTATTAATATGTAATAAAATGTACAGGTAATTGTAGAGAGCCATAATCGTCAGCATCATGAAGGGACATAGAATAAGCAGAATATGTAGTAATTCACGCTGTCTGAATTTATTCTTTTTCTGTGTCGTGTGACTTTAGGACGTGGACGATCATGTCTCTCCACAATATCCTCTCTTTTGTGGCTCTTAGTAAATTTTATATTTTTGCTATCTCTACTAATCCCTGTTCTGCCACCCATTTACACAAGCCCTCTAGGTAGGTTATGTGCTGCTTTCCTTTGTCCCGCTTGCCTTCAATATTTCCTATGGACATTTTCTAAGTGCATTCTCATTATCCCTTAGATAATACGCATTTCCCAAATAATAACAAATTGTGACAAAAAGAAATACTTTTGCCCAATTACATAATGAAAACAATAAATAAATCTAAGAAAAGGCTCCAGGAGCTGATTTTGAATTTTCCAAAATTATGTAAACTAAGTTTTTGCAGCAATTCTTAATCACGTTCAGAACATCCAACGGAAATTGCCCAAATTTCTTTTTATAGTTGAGTAACCCCTCAAAAAGCAATACATTTCCCTTTTGGTATGGTGGGCATTAATTGATTATAGTAGAAACTTGTAATTAATACCGGAGTTTTGTATCAATCAATCAAGGTCAGCCGCTGTTGGGATCAGAGAGTCATTGTTAATCTCACGCTTGCATAGTGTAGCATTGCAGCTCAGACCAGACACCATGTTCGTTCTCAGGGCGCAGCTTCTTCCAGTCAAACCCTGGTGGCTTAATACCTGGAAAATAAGTCATTGACTAGAGCGTTATCCACGAAATAAAACCATGAAACGAAATTGTAGCAAATGTCAAATTGTAATCATCTACTGCAAACGCGCGAGGCAGAGTGGGGCTAGATGAGGGAGACGAACGGTCTAACCGGAGTGCCTTCTTTTTCGCGTGACGATCGAGCGGTCTAGGAATTACTGTCTTACAGAGAAACAACGTTCTTTGTTCTATCAAGTTTCGTCTAAAACAGTAACTGATCAAGTCCGCTCTACTCAGCTGACCCTCTTTGTCAAGGTCTTTTGACATGGTTCTTGTGAGATCCACTTCACTCATCTGATAATCTTCAAAACGATTTCTGTGACATCTTTCAGGTGTTTCCTTGAAAAGATATCAGCTGACAGTTGACATCGCTACAAGAGTATGTGCTTTCCAAGAACTACATACGTTTATCGAATTCAGAGTTATGCTTCTCCTCGAAGGGCCTAGTCTGTTCTACTATTTAACAAAGAGATTTTCACGAGGGTATTTGCACATAAGTGAATGTAACGAAATGGACTGGAATTCGAACTCGGCTCTCCGATTTCGTATTTCAAGCCTCTATCCACCACCAACACATCCGTGGATGTCCGGATTTTATTTGTATTTTTATAATAAATATTAGGCTTTACAGTAGAAATTAATCCTTACGCAAACAAAAATCTTTTAAGCAAACATCACTAATCAATTTGAAATTAATCTTTACAAGAAAAAAACAAACAAAACAATTTTAACTAGAAATGTTTTGGGACGGTCACTAAGTCTGTTGGTCGAGGGTATTCTCTTCATCAGTGTTTGTTAGAACGACTGAAAACAAGCGAATTAGAAATAGCAAATGACATTAAAGCCGAAAGGTAGCAAAAAAAAAAAAAAAAAAATTCTGAACGGTCACCGGAAGTGTCTAAAACATGCACACGCATGTTGTGTTACGACAATGTCACCATACTTTATATCAAGCAAAACTACGCCTTTCAAGCCAATTTTTTTGCAAATTCTACGCTATGAAAACAAACATTTGAGAATATCGCGTACGGAGAAAGAGATACTTATCAAACTTTTGTTTTGAAAATAGATAATTCTTTTTTTTATTATTATTTTCATTTAGTATATTTGATGTAAAACTCTACCCATGCCAAATATTCAGTCGAGTATTTATGATATATGGGCGAAGATAGTAGACAGGAAACGAAAAAAGTAATATATTTTGAAATATCAGAGAGTTCAAGAAAACCACGAGATTCATCCAGGAATATAGACAAATTAATTAAAATCGATAAAGAACGAAAGAAATATAGTGGCACGTAATTCATAATGGCATAATATAGATCGTGCGCAGACAGGGTATCGAAAGACAAAATGGCGAATAGAAAAATGTCGAACGGACAAAGTACCGAACGGAAAAAGTGTCAAACTGACTAAATGACGAAAGGTCAGAAATGTGCCTACAAGACACTACCTTTTACTTAGTATACAAGTATCTTGTTGATAAATAAATTATTTTAAAATTTTAAGGTAATATAAAAACCTACGATGGAAAAAAAATTTCTATTAAGTTTTTTTAAAAGTTTTTTTTAATTTAGTAAATAAACTGAATTGTGAGGTAGGCGCCTAATGAATATATATATATATATATATATATATATATATATATATACGAGGAGACACTCAATTCAATTTGATAAAAAAAATAGAGCGTATAAACGATCCCCACTCCAAATCGGACAGCTAATCGATGATTTAGAGGTTTAATCACATTTAGGAGACACTGTGGAGTAATGGATAGCGGCTCAGATTGACGAATCAGAGAGTCGAATTCCAGTCAAATGCATTACATTCATTTACGTGCTAAAACCCTTGTGAAAGGTATGAATCCTCTTCTCCCCACCCAAGCTATGGGTAAATAGCAGGACAGACCAGGTTCTATAGCCTTGGATGGCAGCTGGTCTACTTCAGAAAGAAATGGCAACCTACTGCGGGAAAAAAATCTGCCTGTCAGTCATATATCGAAAGATTCATGATCACACATGGCACATAACTGACTGAATCATTTTTAAGGCTATTATTTATTAAATGATGCCAAAGCTAAGTAATAAAAAATTTATAACAGCTTGATTATTTGAACCGAATTTTTTAAAATCATGACGACATTTCGTTTTTAGTTTGTTCAACATTTTGTCCTTTTGAAACTTTGTGTTTTCGACATTATGTCCATTCGTCATTTAGTTCAACTCTTTTATTCCGTTCGGCACTTTATCCATTAGACACTTTGTTCGTTCGAAAAGTTGTTTGACATTTTGTCCATTCATCATTTAATCTTTCGACACTTTATCCTTCAACCCTCCGACCTATTACCAATATAGATAGGCTCAGTGCAGATATTGACATCTGGTTGATTTAGCCAAATATTTGCACAAAGCTACATTTTTGAAGATGGCAGTGGGGATCGAGTTTGCTATCTAAAGTCTGTCGGGAACTACTGGAAATTACTGAGCAATGTTGCAGCTTAAAGCAATAAATATTCATGTTATGTTCAGCAGCAAAATGGAAACCGCCTTCGAGCAATGGTTAGCACATTAATCTCGCAACCCTTTACTAGTTAGTTCTTCACTGGGTGCTTATTGGTGTGGATTAAGATTTGCATAGATCTGCATTAAGATGCATATTAACTGAAAGTAGGAAGAATAGTGTACAAAAGACACTTGATTAAAAATTGATATACTATAAGTACCAAATCAGACTACTTGGTTTTCGACAAAACGTCTTGATTAAAATAGATTTGGTACATTCTAATCAATATATATCAGTCCAGGTATGCAGTGATGTCTGTTAGAAGCAGACAGTACGCAAATACTTTTTTTGATTGATATGAAATAATGGCAGATTCATAAGATCCCAAGGCAAAAGAAAAAAACAAACTCTTATATAAACGTAAAATAAACGTGAAAAGAACTAGTAATTCTTTATCTTCTTAAACATGTCTCTTATGAACGGATTCTATGCGAAATGCCTTTGTTTTATGGAAGACATAAATATTGTTTAGTCTTTGTCGGCATAGATGTCTGAGTAGAGTTGTTTGAACGTCCTTTGGTGTGGCACCACTTCAGTAGTCAGAGCCAAAGAACGCACATCAAGTCTACGGTTCAATCGTTTCTCAGTGGTGATATCTATCATAGACAGAGCGGCTGAGTTTCTGATCTTTCTCTCATGCGATGTACTCACGCAATTTGGGATTCAGTGTTCATGGGAGGGATAGGCTTCAACTACCTAAGAAAAAAAAAGTGTGATTTCTTTACATTTATATAATAAAGATTTAGGATTCAGGCGTACCCCGTCATGGGTAAGACGATAAACTACGTCCAACAAGCAAGGCCTCTGATCAGGAGGTTTTGAGGAGCGTGGAACAACCTCTTAATTGCTGGTGTTCTCAAATTCACCCTGACCCGGGGTGGTAGCACTTGCTGGGACCCCAGCTATGGGAAAATAGTTAACCCCCACCAAAGGGGGTCAAAACACTATGAAAATGTAAAAAATAGGTTTTAATACAAGAAATACTTTGTAAAAAATTATTGCCAGCAATACATCTAAAAAAAATATTAACTGCTATACATTTTTGAAAAACAACTATTACCAGCGAAGGAAAATTATTACCAGAAATAGATTTTTGAAGGAAAAAAATATTACTTGAAATATATATTTGGAAAAAAAAATATTGCCAACAATGAAAAATTTGTCGGCATTAAATAACTTATTGAGGTTGATATGCCGTAAAACAAAACAAGCCCAACCAAACAGGCGAACCATTACCTCACATTTTAAATTCTGAATGAAGTAAACATACTTTGAAAGGAGGTTGAATGACTGGACTTAAATATTTTTCCAGTAAAAATTATTTTGAACAATCATGAATATTTTCCCAGCCATTGTTCTGCGGAGCTGTTCTCCATAGTGCCTCAACTGTATGAATTTAAGTTTTCTATTAGATTGGTAACTGGGTCTCACCATTTTACTGTTGAACTAGTTAGATGCAACCATCAGTTCTATTCTAATAGT